ATATTTTTATGTAATTGTTATAATGGACCCAAATAAAAGATTATGCTATTCTTATTTTATACGATAGGATTCACTACAATACATGATTGGGTTTTTATTAACTAATCAACATCTGTCTTCATTTATTTATTGACTTTTATATACGTTATAATATTTGCACACATAATAGAGTTGTCATGTCGCTATCACTCCCGCAATATAACTAGATGGATTGGTGTCCCTAAGCAGCATAAACAGTTTGACGAGTTATCCGCCGCCGGCAAGTAATCCACAGTTGGTTCGTTAATGATTCACAACATAAACCTGCGCGGCGCAGCGCTTAATGGCACCAATTCCCACGGAAACTCATTTGCAAGTTTACAACTCCTTTATCATATTTGGAACAACTAATGATTTAACGACAGGTCTAAACATTGGGCTAGGTGAGTCACCGTTCTTTGTAGATTATTCTCCCCATTGTTAATTTTGTCATTTACCTCTGGTCAATTAGAGAAGGTCTTGCTTCTGCAGTGGAGATTTTATTGATAAAGAATGTTATGTTGAACTAATAAAATTGTAAACGAGGCAGTTGTATTTTTATTGCTAACGTAAATATGAAAGTGAACCCATAATGTCGTTTACAGGATGCTGACATACGAATTGATATTTATAACATATTCATTGAAAAATTGTAGCTCGATTGTCAGTAGCCTTAGGTACTGTCAACCCTTACCAATGTGACCTTAATAAAATAATTAATAGTCATGTCGATCAGAACATGTACCTGCTACGAAAACCATATTACTTTTAATTGGATACTAAAACAACAAATAATCATGCAATAGGTACTTTACCTCAAAACACAGTAAGTAAATATATTTGTTTTTCAGGGATTTTAATTGTTACTTATTCCGAATAATAAATTTTTAGTTGCAAAAACATGTTCGTTTCATAAAATTTAGCCCGCCGCTCTGGCACGGGCGGGCGCGGCGAGCGCAGCGGGCGGGCGTGGACACTCGTCGTTTAATTGCCAATAACTTTATTAGCTTTACTAGCCGTTACCCCCGTAACTTCGGTGTTTTATTAATTTCCTACTTTATCCGCCTTCCTTGCTTTTAATTCTTGTATTAAACTTCTAGCCCTAGTTTAAATAAATTAGCAAGGAAGGTCACTTTGCGCATTTAATCTTTTATACCTATTATATTGTTCTTGTTCTCACTAAGCTCTGAAGTAGGTTTCATTTCGTGGAAATTGACTTTAACCATATTAGTTTTATTGGAAATCTTATTTACGTATTATTTCATATTTCAACTTCACTAAGAAAGCAGATCCTTTTATTGCGTTCTTAAAATAGGTACGCTACAACTTAAAAGATAATCCGATTGCTAACTATTAACAAAATAACAATATCATAACACTAATGTACTATGTTTATGATATTTTGTCCGTTCACGAACAAGACAACAGCAATGTAATGTGACTTGTTTGTTTCTAGTTGTAGTTAGTCGTGCCACCTAAGCATTAAAGTTTTCAAAGTGGATTTCATATTCCTATTATGCTTACAAAGCTCAAAGCTGAACCTTTATTTTAATGGATATATCGTGGAACTATGTCAAAGGACAACATAGTCCATTAATGGAACAATCAGAACAAGTTGCAACATGGTCCCGGAGGAAGGCTCGCCGCGCGGCACTCATGTCTGCGCGAAGTTCGTAACGAGCGCGGTCACGGGCGCGCCCCGCGGTGCACTGGCGGGTACCACTTTCTAAAGAGCACTTGTTCATCAAAACGTTATTGTTATGTCATTTATATTTCATGCAAAATAAATTATTGATTTGATTTGATTGATTTTAAATACATATGAAATATTGAAGTAAACTAATAACCAACAAATTGCAGAGTGCACTATTGTATTAGTGATCGGAATCAAAATCATAGCAATATTATTTAGCATTAGAGTCTAACACAAGAATCTAAATCCTCCACATAACACAAGAATCTAAAAGAAAATTCAATTAATTTTATTGAATGTGAGTCACACTACATTATTTCCTATACAGTCCGGTAATCAGTTTTTGCTTGATATGGCTATCGCTGAATAAGAGGACAAACGGACGAGTGCGGACACACGCGGGCGTGTGCGGGCGAGCGCTGCAATCGCCTTCAAATTGACAAAGGCGCTGCAATTGCGCCTCCAGCGGGCGGACCGCGCCGAAACACAATTACGAGTCCGTCTGCCGCGCAGGGCTGCTGATGAATCCCGGACAAAAACAAAACATGCGCCCCTGAATGACATTCCGGAAAGCGACTTGTAGAGGGAATGTTTTCCCGCATTTTTCAATTATTTTTCAAATGGTTTATCGGGGTTCGTTTCACAGGTTAGTTCTGCAACTGTGTGTAAAACCACAGAATAATAATAAGTACTACGTACAGAAGTTATACTTCGCGAAGGTATTTAAAAAAATGTATGCTCAATGTCATTAACAATATGATGTAATTTAGCCTGTCTCAAGAGTCAAGCACCATTTTGTTGACAAACGTCAGTGATCGGCACTGCGCCGAAGCTATAGGGCTGACTTCGGTAAAATGATGTGACATGAGGTGCCCAACTGCGGAAAATGGCGGAGGAAATACATGAGCATGAATTATCATGAATAATATTACCTACTTATTTACCTCTCAGTGTCTTGACGCAACTTAAAAAAGTACATTCTGTGTTTTTATTATTATTTAGGCAGTTAAATACTGCACAGTATTTAGTACACCATTTTCTTTATTTTCTTCCATCATACACAAGAATACGCGTGCGTGAGTCAATGTTCGCTCGTATGTGAGGCCTTGTCGAATAGTATCCTGTAGGTGGGCCATCGTGCGTGTTTTGTTTTCGATGTAAACTCGCGGAGATGAACAGGCCTGGTAAAACTATTCATTATACAGATATGTAATTATGTGATGTATGTTTGGGGTAATATTATTTTGAGATTTCTTTATATTAGCATGTTACTGTGGACATGAAGATAATCCTATTTCACTTAAAATTATAAATATTAAAATTAAAGTAAGATTAAGCTGTACTTATCCATATTTTTGCATGAAAAATTAATGCCAATAAGACGAACTTAATGTCATTTCCACTACTAATCAATAAGACAATGGGCATGGCAGCCCTGCTCGCAGTCAAGTCTTACGACGTGCGCGTTGGCCTTACTAGTATTCTGCATCTGAGCTCTGCACCACATTTCCACATATTATGGAATCTCTTATGTCAACAGCTTAAAATCGAGGTAAGCTTTGCTATTGCGTGTTATAATCGAATCCCGTTTGCGGGATTATGCAGTACTACTCGATCCTGCAATACTGGATTGCCGTGGGAATGAGCCGGACGTTCGGATAAAGTTTGCTCACAACAGCATTTAGCATTTAATGTAGAAGTAAACTTAAATAAGTTTAAATGTTTGCAGTGAGCGCGGGCCCTAGTCGGGACAATCGCCGCCGTTAGCCGAATCGCTACTGTTAAGCGCTGTTCAGGCTATTCAGTATTGGCTTAAATTTTCCCATATCTATACCTATAATATGATTTTAATCTATGCTCGCTCATGGTTTTATTGTTATAGTCTTATCGATAATTATCGTGAGTCATTACAAACATCCTCGCTTCATAACAAAATGGCACGGATTACAGTGAATTAACTTGTTTGTAGGCGTAATAACAGGCTTCGATATAAAGGGCTCTATCGACTTCGCACTCGTGCCTATAATCATTTGTATCCAATACGGTCTTGTGGGTGCAGCTATACAATAATGCGAGCTAAGCCGCCCGTTGTATTAGCAGGGTTGGCCAAAGCTTTAGTAAAAATAGGTGTTTCTTCAATTATTAATAAGTTACAGTACATTGCATTCTGAATAGGGTTTCTGCTCGAGCTTCGAGAAAACTCGAGAAATTTGGCTTCATTCGAGACGAGAAAAAAATTACCGGAGCTCGAGAATTCTCGAGTTTCGATTTTGAAGCTTTAATATTCTTGAAAGCCTATTATCTTATACAAAAGTAAGGTTTAAATTATTTAATAGGTCAATGTTGCTTTAAGACTGGCCTAGTCATTCCTTTTTTAACTGATTTGATTTGCAAGTAATGATCTCAATCGAAACTAAGTAATAATAATGTTCACCAACGAGTATGAATAATATATTTATTAAGTATGTTTGACTAACTCTGACTGATTTAAAGACTGAAAAACTTGTTAACTAGACAGTTACCTTACCTAACAGACGTTAGGTTAGGTACTCGTGTCTCCTCGTAAAATTTATTCAAGTAAATATCTGTAAGAAATTTATTAAAAAGTGTTTTTTTGTTCATAAAAAAAACTATTTATCGTAATTTTGCTATTTGGACTTGTGTTCTTTAGAAAACAAGTGATTCAATTGTAGCTCCAGATTTTTATTGTTATTTATCCTTAAAGTACACGAGACTTTATGACTTTTGTTATGATTATTAGTAAATATTAATTATGAAAGAAGATTTTATTTTTTGTTTCTTTCCTTACCAAAATAAGTGGTACTAAATTCTAATATTGATTGTTGTGCATAAAAGTAGGTAATATTAGATTTAAAAAACCTGTGTTTTTATTAAATTTCAACCGATTTCAGCATTTTTCATTAAAAGACTCGAGACCCGAGAAAACTCGAGACTTTGGCCTCGAGAATTCTCGAAACTCGAGAAAAAAAATAAGTCGAGAAATCAGAAACCCTAATTCTGAAGCGGCGTATCAAATTGCAACATTTGGAGCCAACCTGTGAGCATTTGTATGCCCAATGTTCACACAGAAAACGGCTTCCTTGTTCGCTTTTATGTTTCAATAAAATATTAAATATCCTTCGGTCTTTTATGGCGCTTACAAACCAGACCATTTGCATTGGTGCCCCGCGAGAGCGCAGGGGGCGGAGGCCGAACTATTTTCTATCAGACGACCGGACCAATTGTGGATTCTGAACCCACAATGATTATTTTTTGCATTTGAATCTAGTTTCGGCGGCGGCGGAGTTCATGGCCCGTGCACGCCGGGCCGCCGGGCCGCCGGGCCGCGGTTGCCAGTCCCCGCCGCCGGTCGCCAGCGACGCCTGAATAATGGAATTGTTTTAGATTGTGTGCAAATTGATGATGCTGAGAGCCACGCTGCGGATGAAACTGTGGTTAGGTAAACATTGTCTGACGAATTAGGTTTCTAGTTGTGAGTTATGTTTGTTACTTTGAAAGTTTTAAGGTCATTTCTTCGTCTTATATATTCTTAGGAAGTATTTTTAAGCCTTTGAAATGTGTTCTGTTTATTACAAAAATTCACATGAATTACGTAGGTACATACTAAATTATCTAGTAAAGAAAAACAAAAAATATTTGGCAAACATAACTTTATTATTACAATGTAAAAATAATGTAATGATAATATAACTGTATTATTACGATAAACTTAATAATTAATGCCAAATGTAACAACGCTGTACGCATACGTAGCTACGATAGCTATCAATGGTATTGGTATCGTAAAATTGCATCATTCCCGTAGCCATTCGTAGTTGCTACGCGCCGTAGCAACGTAGCACTACCTACTAGTCGTTCGGTAGTTGAAGTTAACTACTGCTCGTAGTAGCCGTAGCACTGTCGCCTACATTAAGCGTTAATAGCGTACAAATTAGGTGTAGGACTTGTCTATTTATTTATTAAACGTAAAGTTATTAGTTCAGTTTTGTAAATTAACTTATTAGGTACTGATTAAAACATTTCCTTTTCTAGAACGTATCATAAGGATACATATATTACAGGTAAACATTAGGTAAAATACATTTAGGTACTTTGCCGAGGAAAAAGTAAGAAAAAGTTTAATCTTGTCATCTTCGTTATTGCCTTTGTAAAAATACGTTAATTCCGAAATTGAAAAAAATATAGGATAAGAATTTCAGGGTGAAATGACAAGGGCACAAGGTAGCGACATTAGAAATTGCATTTTCCTGGAAATTTCAATATCAGTGTAACAGCTCATTCGGTGACGATATTGGAGGCGGCGAGCTGTGAAATGCCGGTCCCTTCATTTGCGCGGGGCGCGGGCGGGCGGCCGGTGGTTGGCATACTCTCTTTTTACTTCCTTCTCAGCTGCCGATTCTGCTATTTTTGCATTCAGGTATCGTTGCATTGCTAATATAAAAATATACAGTATTTTGAACATTATATAGTCCTCAAAACTAGGAAAATTAACAAAATGTCTTGAATACTCCTTGAAAAATCAAATGACAGGAATCAAAGGACCTTATTATGTTTGGCTCATTTAATATTACAGCCGCTGGTTATAAATTAACCGTCTCTATTTTGTAGTGAAATTCAAATTCAGGTCCCGGGTTCGGTTCCCACGGGGTATTTTTCTACACAGTTCGGTTAGTGTTTGGGCTTGTTCTAGATCCACATGGCTGCTACCACTATCTTCTAGGTCTATGGCCATAGCAACAATTCTGGGTGAAGCTCGCGTCTATCTTAGGCCAGATCATCGCTTCTCATCAGGTGAGATGCAGTTCAAGAGCTTCCTCGTTGTGAATAAAACATGAAAGTTGGCTATTGGTTTAAGCATGCTATTCGGAACTCGAATTCGAAATGATAGCAGTGCTTACTGTGGAAAGCGCACACGCGCCTCGAAGACTTTCTGCCAGGATATGATAGTATCGCTCGAGCGAGCATAAACTATAACACAGCAGACACGTTAGTCATTCGCGGTCGCGTGCCGCGCGGCGGTTAGAGCCGGCTCAATAAGGCGGCTCGGGCATAAATTACGCGAAATGAAAAGAAACCCTATCGGAAGTGAAATACGGCGGAATAAATTAACGGGCGGATATTGAGGTGTCGCGGGTAATCCGCCGCTTCCGCCGCGGCCGCGCGGGCCCGGTGACGCAATGCTTTCTTTAGTACAACTTCCATTAAAATTATGTAAACAATATCGCTGCTTTGAATAAATATTTCTTGTAAAAACCTTTTCTGTATTCAACTATTTATCCTAGTAGGCAGTAGGTAAACACTATCAAAATTAAATAAAAAGAAATAAAATAGCTTCTTTACCGATTTTTGAGTTAGTTATTTTATTAATAACATTTATTTATTATTATTCATTTTTTAGGGATAGCACACAGCACAATATCAGTGCTTAAGGCTAGTGCGGAAAAAAATCAGCTATACCCTAAGACCCGCGGCAGACGGGGCTATAAACCAGTTTGTAACGGAGATGCGCACGCGCAAATTCTGGAATATCGATTGAACGCAATGTGTGTGAGTGATCACTTATAGGTAACCTGAATGAAATATATCGATATTGTAATGTAAAATTGTTTCTTGATTCATTTGTTTCAAGAGCGCATCGCGCGGCTGCATTGTTATGCGGGCGGCGCCCGAGGGCAGGACGCGGACGCGGCCGGCCGCAAGCATGTTTAACGCGCCTCCAGCTGCAGTGAAAGGCGACACAGCTGCGCTACTCCTGCATCTCCTTCAAGTATTCCTTGATTCGTTCGAACAAAACTATAAAGTTTGCACGGGCACTCAAGTTTATTTGTTTTACCACCTTGTAAAATTATTTACTTACCTACTTACACTGGTCATCACAAAAATCGGCCCACCTACGTTTTACAGGAAAACTCGTTTCTACTGACACAATCATGGTGCCCCAACAATATTGGTGTTATTTGAAAGCCCAATAAATATCCTTAAAGAAAAACACATTTAATTTCTTAATAAACGATTAACATATACAATCAATGTGACTTGAAAAACTTGAAAAAATACCTTACTTTGGGCTCACCTCTGGGATCAATTAGACCAATTTTTATGGTTATAAAACCAAATAATGATCTCACGTGTCCTCTTTAACAGATGGATAGCAATTAATCCCAACTTAACAGTTTTATAGCCATAAAAGTTGGCTCAAGCGTAACTACCTATTTTATGAAGAAGTGACTCTGGGTTCTTCTACAGACACATTTTTGGGGTAAAAACCTCAGATCATAGAAGGGAAAAAACCTTTCCTTTAATGAAATGAAGTTTAAAAATAGGCTTTTAAATGGTAATATAGTATAGTAATATTGGTGGGAAGTGGGGATGCATACGTTTGAAAGTGCTTGTCGCGGGTGGGTCGATTTTTATGATGACCAGTGTAGATCCACATTATGCATTGTAGTCATAACGCAGCCAGATAAGAAAATCCAAATACCTAAGTGTACCTAGTTTTTGCGAGAATATTGCAGTCCATTAGGCAATGATTTCCGCGAGCGCGTTACTCAGCGGAGCGCTAAACAAGTTCATCGATACAGCTTTTTTCGGCCGTTCGGCTCACTTTGCGTTCGGCGCGTTTTTATTGCGCGAGCCGATGCCGTAAATCAGGGTAATGTGGATCAAATGGCCGCGGCCCGAGCGCAACACTGACTTAATTCATAAAATATAGGTTTATTTACATCCCTTCCGTATTTTATTACGGTTTTAGTGTGCGGGCGTATCAATATAACATTCTGTAAATCAATTTCTGGAAAGAATTACAACAATAACGACTACTTGCACAAATTAATTTCGAGAGCTCTTTTTTGCCCCGCATACACATTCGTGATAATGATATCCCTTCCTCTGTAACTTTCAGCGTTCCTATGGATATCGTCAGATTACATGTTATGGAGTCCTACGAACAATAAAGATGAAATAACTAACTAAGCAATAGCGGGATACGATTACATACCTACTACATGAATGACGGCCGACGCTGGACATTACAACCCGCAAACAATGGGACTAGTCTAGGATTTACGTGCGGCTATTTCATTCGCAGGTACCTTTGTTCGCAATGGAATCACGCGTCCACTATCAGATGCCTCATCCGTTTGTGTACTTTTATCGCGAACTGCATAGCCGTGCACTGCGGCTGTGTTGATATTACATCAAAAATAGCATAGCTGTGTTTGTCTATCGCGGCACAACGCCATCTAGTCAGGCGAGCAGAAAACGCGCGTGGAGTAGAGCCGCAATGCAAACAAACGCGAATCGGTTGAATGAATTCCTATTGTACTGCGGATGTGCGAGCCAACATGACTAATGTTGATTCAGAACTGTGACGAAACTAAATAGTTCGTTTTCAATTTTGAAGATACCTACTATTGACTACCTACTATTGATAATACCTACCTTTATCAAATGGCTAACTTTGGTGCAAATAGTTGGGCCTAAAATTTTTGCAAATAGCAACGATTGATTTCTCGAAGACGCGGACGGTTCGAGCCAGGGGCGCGTGGGTGATGGAAAACTGTGAATATATGAATTATCCTGCTTTCGCCTCCGAGATTTATTTTACCATGTAGTACCCCTGTACGACAACCCAATCCGCACACAATATTCAGCGTAGTAGTATTAAAAAACAAAAGAGCGGGCAACCCCACCCCTACCACGCTGTGGGCTCGGTGTCCGAGCGGTCTCATTCCTTTGTGCGCACGCGCAACGACCGCACGCAGTATAAGAAAAATGCTTAAGTGACGTCACCAGGACGTTTTTACCGACAAAAAACGTAATTATTTTAAGTTGTGCAGTGTAGTGACGAGAATTAGACCCAACAAAAGGTTGGTTGTAACAACTATTTTGTGCAAGTGCTCGTACATTTTTATTATAAGCGTTGTGACACGACGCGTAACTTTGACCCATTTTTAGCTCCAAGTTAACGCGCGATGTTAACCAGTAGCCATTTTTTTTTGCACAGTGTTATGAAGTCCGCAAACATTGGCCGTATTTGGGCGGCGGGCCCGCGACGAGTTACGAGTATCGGTTACGGTTAGCTCAGGATTGGTTTCTTGCGTTTTGTCGCTTTGAAACTAGGTATATGGCACCTAAATAGCTAGATGCTGAAAATTTGCATCTAATAAAAACATTAGTAGTAGGGCGTATAGCGTTATGAAGTTTACAAACATTGGCCATGTTTGGGCGGCGGGTCCGCGACAAGTTACGAGTACGCGTATCGGTTACGGTTAGCTTAGAATTGGTTTCTTGCGTTTTGTCGCATGACCCAAAGTAGTTAATTACTGAAAACTAAACATGAATATCCTGAAAATTCCCACCTTATAAAAACAAAGCACGTGTTGTAACTTTCACAAATATTATCCGCCCTAGCTTTGGTCAATCTAGATTTCAGTTGGG